AGGATGCGTTCTTCTGCCTAAGGCTGAGCCTGGTTAGCCAGCCCATCTTCGCTTTTGAATGGAAGGACCCTGAAGCTGGAATATCGGGACAACTAACCTGGACGCGACTTCCCCAAGGATTCAAGAACTCCCCTACTCTGTTTGATGAAGCTCTACATCGTGACCTGCCTGACTTTCAGGTAAGGAACCCACAGATTATGCTCCTCCAGTATGTAGATGACCTCCTCTTAGTGGCCGAGATGGAAGCAAGCTGTTTGCAAGGTACAGAGGCCCTCCTATTGAGACTGGGGGAACTTGGATACTGAGCCTCGGCAAAGAAGGCCCAGATCTGCTTACAGCAGGTAAACTATTTGGGCTACCGGCTGGAGGGAGGACAACGATGGCTAACGGAAAGTAGAAAACAGGCGGTAGCCTCTATTCCCCCACCAACTTCAGCCAGAGGACTCAGAGAGTTCTTTGGAAGCGCAGGATTCTGTAGATTATGGATACCAGGCTTCGCCGAAATAGCGGCTCCTCTATACCCTTTAACAAAGAATGGCACCCCTTTTGCCTGGACAGAGAACATCAGAGAGCATTTGACAAAATAAAAAGAGCACTGCTGACGGCGCCAGTGTTAGGATTACCAGATTTGACAAAACCTTTCATCCTATATGTAGATGAAAATCAAGGGATGGCAAAAGGAGTTCTTACTCAAACTTTGGGACCCTGGAAAAGGCCAGTAGCTTATCTCTCAAAAAGACTGGACAATGTGGCTGCTGGCTGGCCCCCATGCTTGAGAATCATGGCGGGAATAGCATCCCTGGGAAAAAACTCCGACAAACTCACCATGGGTCAGCCCCTAACTATCATAACTCCACATGCGGTGGAGTCCATCATTAGACAGCCCCCTGATAGATGGCTATCAAATGCCAGGGTCACCCATTACCAGGCATTACTATTAAATCCAGAAAAGATCAAGTTTGGTAGCCCTGCCACCTTAAACCCCGCCATGCTGCTACCAACCCCCGAGAAAAACACTGAGATTCCCCATGACTGTCAGCAAATACTTGCGGAGATACGTGGGACTAGGGAAGACCTCACCGACCAGCCCCTAACAGATGCAGATGCCACCTGGTATACGGATGGGAGCAGCTTTCTGAGAGACAATGAGCATAAGGTGGGGGCAGCGGTGGTTGATGGAAAAAGGATAATTTGGGCCCAAGCCCTGCCAGTTGGAACATCGGCCCAACGGACTGAATTAGAAGCCCTAACCCAGGCCCTAAAATTAGCAGAGGGCAAAAAGGTCAACATTTACACTGACAGCCGCTATGCATTTGCCACGGCTCACGTACATGGAGAAATTTATCAGAGGCGGGGCTCCTCACCTCAGCGGGCAAGGACATTAAAAACAAAGAAACAATAGTGGCCCTTCTACAAGCTTTGTACTTACCTAAAAAGGTCAGCATTATTCATTGCCCTGGACATCAGTGAGACCAGAGGCCGATTGCTCAAGGCATTCGGATGGCAGATGAAACTGCCCGTCAGGCAACAGAAGGCACCTGCATTCTCTACACCCATGCAGACCTTAAGGCAGAGATTGAGGCACAAACAAAGGAGGGAGATGCTCTTTTCACCTACACTGAACAGGACCTGGAACTCGTACGGAAGCTCAATGCTACCTTGGACCCAGAATCTAAAATGTGGGAACACCAGGGTAGGGTAGTACTTCCCCGAAAGGCAGCCCTTGAGCTAATCTCCCAGCTCCACCAGTGGACACACTTAGGACACAAGAAACTAAAAACACTACTAGAAAGAGAAGAACAATTCTATTATTTCCCGGACCTTAACCAGCTAGTCCAGAAGGTAATGGGAGATTGTGTCTCATGTTCCCTGGTAAATGCTTCCAGATCAAAGGTCCCATCTGGCATGAGAGAAAGAGGGACATGACCAGGGACTAATTGGGAGGTAGATTTTACTGAGGTCCTCCCAGGAAAATATGGTTATAAATATCTCCTAGTGTTTATAGACACTTTCTCAGGGTGGGTTGAAGCTTTCCCCACCCAGAAAGAAACAGCCCAGACGATTGTAAAGAAACTGATCGAAGACATTTTCCCTCTATTTGGATTGCCTAAGGTAATTGGGTCTAATAATGGCCCAGCCTTTGTCTCCCAGGTAAGTCAGGGAATGGCCAAAGCACTGGGGATTAATTGGAAATTACATTGTGCTTACAGACCCCAAAGTTCAGGACAGGTAAAAAGAATGAATAAAACTATTAAAGAGACCTTAACTAAATTAGCTCTAGAGACTGGCACTAAAGACTGGGTGCAGCTCCTACCTCTAGCTCTATTTCGGGCTAGAAATACTCCTGCTATACACGGCCTAACCCCCTATGAAATCCTTTTTGGAGGACCGCCTCCTGTCCTCAATGTAACCTTGTCCCCCTTGCCCTCTTCTTTTGACAATCCCAGCCTGAAAACAAGACTCCAAGCCCTCCAGATCATCCAGAATCAGGCTTGGAGGCCCTTGGCTGCTGTCAACCGGTGCTGTCTACCGGCCTGGGAGTCCACGAACACCCCACTCCTACCAAATTGGAGATCAGGTGTACATGAGAAGACACCACGTAAAGACTCTTGAACCACGGTGGAAAGGACCCTACACAGTTGTCCTGACTACGCCCACGGCCCTCAAAGTAGACGGGATTTCAGCCTGGATTCACGCTTCCCACACCAAAAGAGCCCCGGCCCAGGAGGATGCTGGAAAATGGCATCTACACAAAACATCCAAACCCCTAAAAATAAGACTCTCCAGAGATACCTAATGATTCTACTTGGTTTTAGGTTAGTTCCCAGTCAAGGAAGCCCCCATCGCCCTATGCTGACCACTTGGCAGGTGATCAATCAAATGGGTATTGTAGTATTTGAAACCCACAAAATGGCACCCAAGGGCACTTGGTGGCCTACATTGTATCCAGATTTGTGTAAATTAGCCTTAGGAGCACCGGCGCCCTGGGACATACCAGACATCATGGATCCTGATAGAATACCCGGCCCGGAGGCTTACCCCCTGTTCGGAGGGCCCCACTTAACATGGGGAGGGTGTCGTGAAAAACAACGGACCATGTTGTGTCTGTTAACCTTCTATGTCTGCCCAGGTAACCATCGAGATAAGCAACTCAATTCCCAATGTGGAGAGAGGGACTACTTTTACTGTAAAAACTGGGGATGTGAAACAACCGGGGACACCTGGTGGTCCCCATCCTCATCCTGGGATTACATTACTGTAAAAACAAATTATTCTCATAAGAGCCCAAATGCTCCTAATCAGGACTGTCAAGGTAAATGGTGCCACTCCCTCTGGATAGAATTCACAACAGCAGGAAAAAAGGCCACAGATTGGGACAATGGACATTCTTGGGGAATTAGGATATACAAAGAGGGGACAGATCCTGGCCTTTTGTTTACTATTAAAAGAGACACCTCCTCCTCTTCAATAGCTATAGGCCCCAACCCTGTCTTACTTATCCAGAACCCCATCCCCAGCCACCCAAATCCCCCGCCAGCCTTAATACCTGAAGCCACCTCATAGCACCTCCCCAACCCTTTTTCTGACACTTCCCCCACCAATATCCTGTTGAAACAGACCTCTAGCCCCCCAAGTCAAAAGGTTTCATCCATTGGGGACTGACTGTTCAATCTAATCCAAGGAGCATATAAGGCCATTAGACAGACAGACCCCAACCTGACTGAATTCTGTTGGCTATGTTTAGCAGCAGCACCCCCTTATTACGAGGGCATAGCTACACAAGGGATATTCAATAACACCACCTCAGCCGACCAATGTCATAGAGAGACCCCTCACCCCCTAACCCTCACGGAAGTCTTGGGATCTGGGCTCTGCTTAGGACACCCACCTCCAACTCATGCCCACCTTTGCAATTCCACTATTTCTGTACCCCCAGGGGAAGGGAATTACTATCTTCTACCTCCGCAAGGGGCTTGGTGGGCATGTAACTCTGGGTTGACTCCCTGTGTAGCTAGTATGGTCCTTAATACTCAAGATTATTGTGTCATGATGTAGGTGTAAAAGAGAGCCTGTGTCCCTGACCCTAGCGATACTTCTGGGAGTGGGGATGACTGCAGGAGTAGGAACTGGAACAGCAGCCCTAATACAAGGACCACAATATTATGCAGACTTACAGATGGCTGTAGATGAGGACATTAGAGCAATAGAACAGTCAATTACCCACTTAGAAAAATCTCTAACTTCCCTCTTAGAAGCAGTATTACAAAATAGAAGGGGGCTAGATCTGCTTTTCCTCAAGGAAGGAGGGCTCTGTGTGGCTCTAGGCGAAGAATGTTGTTTCTATGCTGACAGCTCAGGGGCTGTTAGAGACTCTATGACTAAGCTCTGCCAAAGGTTAGACAAAAGGCAAAGAGACCGTGAATCCAAACAGGGGTGGTTTGACAAAAAGACCGTGAATCCAAACAGGGGTGGTTTGAAGGATGGTTTAATAAAACCCCCTGGTTAACTACTCTAGTGTCCACCCTAATAGGCCCCCTAGTTATTCTTCTCCTTCTTTTAACCTTCGGACCATGCATCCTCAACAGATTGCTACAGTTTATTAGGCACCAAATATCGGTGACTCAGGCCTTGGTCCTTACTCAGCAATACCATGCTCTAAAAAGAACAGAAGACCTATAAGATTTTAGGATTCAAATCTTGCCATAAGAAAAGGGGGGAAATGATGGATTCAAAACAAGTCCCCCAGGTAAAGGAAAAACTGTACAAGGAAGTAAAATGAAAAATAATTCTAACTGCTGAGAAAGAGCTGACCTTTTCATGCACCTTGCACCAGCTGGAAATCACCCGAAAAATCCCCCTCCCTCTTCTGCTTTCTGGCTCAGTAGCCGCTTGTGGTTTGTGGTTTTTGCCTTTATAAGCAGCCTGTAAGCTGAGCTCGGGGCTTCTCCTTTCCGAGTGAGGCAGAAGCCCATCTGTGCAAACGCCATTAAATCCTCTTGCTTGTTGCATCTCCTGGTCTGAGGACTGAGTTATTGGGGTGCGGCCTCCCGTGAATGTTGGGTACCCCAGACGGGGGTCCAACAAAAGTTCATAATTATCACACATAAAGCCAGCTAGAGTGTCATGTGACAATTTGTCTTCAAACACTTCCTCTTTTTTGGAAAACTTGTTTTCCATTTTATTAACTAATTTATTTCTTTTCTCTTGAAAAGTTGTGACCTTTCTATGCTAGCTGGGGAGTATGTATTTTGGATCTGGTTTTTGTGCTGCTTTTTGGAATGGACTTTCTCAGCTTTCACACTGAGACTGTCTTCTCCCACTGGGTCTTGGGGCTTCCTACACGCTGTCAGAAATGTGAAGGTGCTCAAGACACTGGGTGATTGATCAACCCTTATGTGTATCTTCCTAGGCGAGCTAATAAAGTTCCTTCTGACCCAGGAACAGGGCATGCTTATGGGTTCCCGTATGAGATGGTTACTCATCCTGGGGAGTTCTCCATGCCACCTCTACTCTGTTAAGAGTGGACAGAACAGTGCTTCTTGTCTTTGGCACCTTTCCGATCTGGTATTCATAATATTCCTAAACTAAAGGCGTCAAGTTTGCAAAAAGGAGAAATCACAGGAAAAAACAAAAGTGCAAATTTAGGTATTGGAGAAGTGTTTGGAGACAAAGGCCAACTAAATAAAAACATCAAAAACAAACAGAACCACCACAGACAACAAAAACCAAAATGCCTTCAAAGTTCTAGAAGCCACGAATATTAAAACAAGCCAAGCAATCAGAAACAAATTGCTTCTGAAGCAAACAAAAATGGACACTTTAAAGCAAACACTTTAAAAGTACATTAAGCAAACAAATATCTAAACAAATAGGTACCTTAAAATTGGCAGACTACCTTAAGTTGTATTTTTTCATTTTCTTATATTTGTAAGTTAAAGGAACATACTAATCAACCCTAAAACCAGCAGGAATACACAATATCTATTTTTCTCAAAACATTTCTCCATTCCTTGAATTAAATGTGGGAGAAGTGTTCACAGAAGAAAAAAGAAAGAGGAAGAAAAAAAAATTACTGCTAGCAAATTTTAACAAATGGTCAGCAACAACAACAACAAAAAACAAACTGAATATTGAAACCAAAATACTTTCAAAGCAAACAAAATAGATACCTAAAACAAGCACTTCGAAAGCAAACCAAAAATAATAAAGGTATCTAATAAATAGGATCCTTAAACAACCAGCTCAGAATAAACAAATGGACCATGAACCAAACCAAGGAAGGTCCGAGACCCCCCCTCCCAAAGAACTCACGACGATCCATCCGGGTAATTCTTGGGGCCCCACATTGTTGGGTGCCATAAACTATAAATGCAAAAGCATAACTCCTGCCTCAAAGGAATAAGAAATAGTTTATTCTGGAGCCAAATATGAGTGAACGTGGCCTGGGAATACAGATTCAGGTTACCCATAATTCCATGTTCCAGTGTGGTAACAGTTGCCTTACTTTTTCTTTCTTTTTTTTTTTTTCTGGTCTCCCTGTAGCCCCAGCTGACTTGGAACTCACTATGTAGACCAGGCTGGCCTCAAACTCACAGAGATCTGCCTGCCTCTGCCTCCCAAGTACTGGGATTGAAGGCATGGGCCACCACGGCCGGCATTTTTATAGTAATAGAACAAAGAGAAATCATAAATCAAGACACTTTTCAAATACATTGGAGGGTGCATTCAGTAGGTGGGTAGCAGTAAAGCGAGGGATTTTTTAAATAAAGGTATCAGGTGCTATCTGATGACATTCTTAGCCTTATGATTGGTGAGACTGGGTAGTCTGCTAGGATAATATATTCTAAAAGGTTTTTTATCTGTTAGTCACAGGATGTTAGATCAGAAACAGAGGTGGGCAAGGAGTGGCTGTTTAGGGGGCTAAAGATGGCCCAAGATAAATGGTAATTAGGCTCTGGACGTGCAACATTCCAAACTCTCCACAATTTCTGGAGTGATAATGAGTTGGTCAGCCTTGCAGGAAGTTCAGTCCAAGGTGTAGGAGTTCTTTTTCGGAACTTCTCTTTCACAGGCATGTAGTCAGGAAAAGCCCCTCAATAGGAAATCAACATTTTGTACATTTCAATTGAATTAGAATAGAAGAATTAGCATATTCATGAAATGAAATATGGGATAATTGTAAGGAATCAATAAAATGGAAAGTTTATACCTAAAATACTTTTTAAAAGTAGATTATATATAT